CATCGTTATTTCTTGATTTGAATTTTTTTCTTTTTTAATTGTTTCGTAAACTGAAAGCTTTTTTTCCAAGCTATCATTTAAGTTTTCATCTATGAATATTAAAAAATAAATATATAAAATTTTTTTTTCATTATTTTCATGAGTTTTTTATGCAAATTATTGTTATCCATTTAAAGAGAGAAGAAAAATTAAAAACTCATTGTAATAAATCGAGTAGGAATAATTCGGAGAGTTTAGCTTCGATGAAATGGAAGACTAGACGGTGAAAGAGGGTTAAAAGTTTTCAAACTAAGCTAAGTTCAATAAGATGTGAGTCGTCTGACCCTTGGGGCCAAGGCTTGAAACTTCTTGTCGGAAGTTTTTTTGTAAATAATTCACCATCAGTTCAATGCATTTTACTTAAAATTTTATCAACTGTAACTTACCTCAAAGCATATCGATGAAATAGATATAAATAGGATTGGTTTGAATCTTCATATATACATACTAAATTCGATATATAATAACACTTATCTGATTATAGAGGTCATAACTGAAATATTCAATCATTTTCCTAATTTATATTTTAGTAACTCATTTTATACAAGTTTCTATTAAAATTGCTCAATCCATATATCGCGATTTAGATTACTACATAATTACCTCAATATTCATGGTTGATTGAAATTTTGATGAGCTCAAGTAAGTTAAACAAGATTTAAGACATTAAATGTGCATCAACATGACACTTAAAGCGAAATACAAGAAGTTTTTTGAAATAAACTAAAGTCTTGATATTTATTCTTTAGATATCGAGAAAACTAAAGACACAACTGTAACCCTCTACATTCCGTATAAAAAAATTTCGTTCCCCAAATGTTCCCCTCGTGAGACTATGGAAAACGTTTGGGGAACTAATTTTTTTTTTTGCTGCAGCATATTAATGGATTCGTGAGAATGAGATCTTTTTATTGCACTAGTTAAAATCATAATTAGAAGATAATTTTTGCAAAAATTAGAGCAAGTTCCGATTTTACCCAATTTAGGAGTGAAATAATTAATTTTTCATATGTTTGACTTGATTCCGCATTTCTACACATCAAGCCGAAGAGAATGAGTGGTCAAACTTAAAAATCGGACAACTTTGATTTTTCGACCCCAAAAAATGGCAAGTGTACCCCTTTCCATTTATTTTGACCAAAAAATAAAGGTACTCCGATTTTAATGATTAAGGGCTCATTCTCTTCGTCTTAGTGCGTAGAAATGCGGAATCGGGGCACCGATTGAGAAAATTCACTTTAACACCCTTAAAAACGGGTTACACTAAATACAAATTACGAATTATCATCCCCTTAACTTTAAACCCTTATAACTCATGAACGGACGGTCCAATAATCGATTTTAGGGACGTTTTGAAAAGCTCAAAATCTAAGCTAAACATGCATATCTATGAAAAGTGTTGCAAAAATTTATTCTACCCTTAAAATCGCTAAAATATAAAAAAAAATCACATTTTTTTGGGAGTTTGCCAACTATTTTGACGATTTTGAGGGTGAAGGAAATTTTTCAAACATTTTTTGTGGATATGTTTCTTTAGCTTAGATTCTGAAATTTCCATACACATCCTTAAAATCATTATTAGATGACTTGTATGGAAGTTATAGAGGTTCAAAGTCGAAATAAGGCCAAAAAATCGTCTACTTCTTAACTTTGAACCTCTATAACTCTCATACAAATTATCTGATAATGATTTTAAGGATGTGTATGGAAACTTCAGAATCTAAGCTAAAGAAACATATCCACAAAAAATGTTTGAAAAATTTCCTTCACCCTCAAAATCGTCAAAATAGTTGGCAAACTCCCAAAAAAATGTGATTTTTTTTTATATTTTAGCGATTTTAAGGGTAGAATAAATTTTTGCAACACTTTTCATAGATATGCATGTTTAGCTTAGATTTTGAGCTTTTCAAAACGTCCCTAAAATCGATTATTGGACCGTCCGTTCATGAGTTATAAGGGTTTAAAGTTAAGGGGATGATAATTCGTAATTTGTATTTAGTGTAACCCGTTTTTAAGGGTGTTAAAGTGAATTTTCTCAATCGGTGCCCCGATTCCGCATTTCTACGCACTAAGACGAAGAGAATGAGCCCTTAATCATTAAAATCGGAGTACCTTTATTTTTTGGTCAAAATAAATGGAAAGGGGTAACTTGCCATTTTTTGGGGTCGAAAAATCAAAGTTGTCCGATTTTTAAGTTTGACCACTCATTCTCTTCGGCTTGATGTGTAGAAATGCGGAATCAAGTCAAACATATGAAAAATTAATTATTTCACTCCTAAATTGGGTAAAATCGGAACTTGCTCTAATTTTTGCAAAAATTATTTTCTAATAATGATTTCAACTTGTGCGATAAAAAGATCTCATTCTTACGAATCTATTGATATGCTTATTTTCTATATAGGCCTCATAGATCTTGAATTATTAGCAGAAAACTAAGTTATGGAGTTAAGGATTCTACAGAAGGTAATTCCTGATAATTAATTCCATAGTTGAAAAACTTGTGGTGATCGTGGACCAGTTTTTTCATTTACTGCTCAAAAAAAATATTTTAGAGTTTTAAATTAAAATTAAATAAACATAGATTCCTTTTATTATCCATGTGAAATATTTTTGTACTTCATCTAATATTACTTTTAAGCATAAAAAGTGGATAAAAAGAAGCAAACATCTGCTACAATTTGATCTATATTGGACAATATACCATCATGATTAACAAACGAAGCTTTTATGAAAACTATGTTTATTTGTTTAGGTATTGTTGTATGTAAGTAAGGTTCAATGTTTCAATTATTTAAACGTCTTCTTTGAGTGATTATAATCTGTACTTAGACATCAATATGTTAAACTATCTAACCTTTGCTCTCCATGACACTTGTGAGATAGTATCTCATGAATAATTCTACTCCATGTTACTATACTACCCAACAATACTACCCAATAGTTTGTATTGTTCTAAAGAAGTCCTGTGAACTTCGAGAACATTACAACTTCGCATGAGCTTTAAAAGAAGGTTACAGTAGAATGTCAACAGTGACATCCTTGTTGCAAGTATAAATAAATAATTCAATGACAAAAGTCTGTGGGCAGGTGTAGGTTTCAAAATAGTGTGAAGAGTTGACTCGTTCAATAAAGCAGATAATTATGTTCAGACTGGAACATTATTCACAATAAAAATGTCAGCACACCCTTTTTATTAATGCATCACATGTCGCAACACCTTCACGAATTGAAATTAAATTTCCCTACATGAAAAAATACTTTAATATTGTTAGTTATTTAAAAACTATTTTTTTTTAAACATATTCCTATCGTTAGTTTACTATTTCACCATGTAAAAATACATTCCATCATTTTTAAAAATAATTTCCTTCTTTTTTCACCAGAAATTACAATTAAGTAAATGGGAATTAACCAACAATAAAAATATAAACCCTTTCTTATTTTTATTAACAAAATACACAACATCATATTTAAGCAAATATTAAACATGATTTACTCGATCATATCTCACTGTTGAGGATAATTAACCTGTAATTTCATTGAATAATAAATAAAATATAAGACTTGTGACATTAATGCTTGATGACTTTAGCGAAATACGTCCATAAATACAGCTATCTATTATATTTCTTTTATACCTGTTCTTCAAAATGATACACATATAAGTCTTATAGGATTATGTGTGGTATTCATAAAGTTTACCTTCCTGTTAGTTCGCTCTGGCAAATACAGCAATGCTATTTGCGTCGGCTTGTATCATTTCTGTGTACATACACGTCTTCCATATCCCTGCATATCAACCAACGCAACACAGTATGACATTTGTATACATCTCCATCCTATGATGCCTAGGCTTTGCTCCCAACCTTTTTGAGAATGTATCGAGTTATCTAAGTTGTTGACATGTCGACAAAATATGTGGAAACTAGTTGTTCAATAAAATCTATACGTTTTAAAGGGAATACGTTATCCTGTTATTTATCTAAATTTACCTGAATAAAAAATGTTGCATGGTATACTAATATTTATTGATGTGCTAATTTTTTTCGATTGATTGAATATTTTTATCTGTTTACTTCAAGTTTACTCAAATAGTATTAACTTGATATTTATTAAACTTCTGTTGGTTTGATGTATCGCTAAACCCACATGAACTTAGCCACTAAATTATAATCTCTCAAATAAATCGGTAATGATGCTAGGAAACTTTTCTATGTAAATCACAAAGATTTGATACACTGATTCTATCACATTTAACTCTTTCTTGTATTTTATGTCTGATTTTTCAAGCTATAAATAAAACTTTGATACCTGTCTGTTTGTTTGTTTGCTCGCTTTTTATTCGACACAACCGATTTTGATCAGATTTTTATTGGTATTCCAAACAGTTTGAAAATGTGTCTTATCTGACTACTTTTCCAGTGGATAAACCGAATTAAAGACTCTAAAATGGTAGAAAGTATTTTTTTTAACTATCACAGGGTCTTGATAAACTTGAATTTCGTGATGTTTTCTCGATTATTAATTCATGAAGTAATATAATATTATAACATTTAATAAATTATAATATTATTAGAGTTTCAAGATGTTGAATTGATTAGTAGTGTGTCGATTTGAGTTTTGAATAATAATAGTTGTAATAATTCAGTGGTATGAAAGTTTATTTACCAGTGTAGTTGCCTTTATTACTGTTACATATTACCTGAATGTCATCGTAAAGTTTTTGATAGTCGAGAAAAAGTTTAATAATAGAACAAACATTGATGTGGCAAATAGCCACGGGTTAGGAATTTATTATATGCGCATTGTAAATTTAATGAGAAATGAACCAAAAATTTTCACAGAAATGTGTTTGAGGTGAACCAGAATAGAATGACGGTAAGAAGGAGTAGTGAGGAGTCACCTATTTGTTGCTGAGAAGTTATGGTAGCAGTTAATTTGGTTTCGTGGTGATAGTAATGGCGTCGCGATGTGTTGGTCGACAAAATGAAATTTCGCTGTTTACTGAGGGTTACCACCGAAATCGGCTAACGTACGGTCATAGTTGTTTGTTGGACAAATACAGAAGTCACGTGGTAAAACTTGGATATTACTACAGCCAAAAGCGGAAACGAAGTGGAAGTAAATACACCAAGTTACATTATGTTGCTTCAAATTAAAGTAATATAGGACTGTTTTATTTTTGTGTTAATTTAAGACTAAAATATTGCTTGTTCAATTAAAAATAACTTTGTTTATAGGTGTGATAAATAAGAGAACTATGTTATTTTATATTAACCAACTGTTGGAATTAATAGTCTTATATTTCTTCAATAGACAAAATAAAATAAAAAATTATTTAATAATGACAAAAAAGATGAAAGTCTTTTGATTATTTGATAACTGTAATAACTTTTACGATTGTATGTGTGTGTGTGTTTTTTAATCGTCTTTCACACTCATTAATATTCATTAGAAAAATTTTAACAATGCGTCTTCCTTAAGTATTATGTACCTCTTTATTTTTTTCGTTATATTTTTTATGGTATATCCATGAGTGTGAGTTAACCGAGCACGTTTGAATTTATTGCCCAGCTGTGCTTTATTAAATTCGTTGGAAAAATTGCACATAAACGAGAAAAATACTGGTTGAACTATTGTACATTTAAAGAGTGGAAAAAAGAGGAGAAAATACCATAGCTATTGAGAGGGTCGGAAAGAGTGAGATAAGAAGGTCATATAAATGATCAACAATTGTGCTTGATAGAATTGTTTAAAAAAATCAAGCATTTAGTAGACAAACTAGAAGGCTTTAGAACGTGAGAAAATTGTCGATCGTGAAGTGATATCTTTTTTTGTGAAAGCAACTGTAATCTAGCAAACTGATGAAGTTTGTTCTGGTTGGTCTGCGAGAGCAGATAGGGTGAAAATACTGAGTCTTGAAAGTTAGGCGATTCGTGTGTCTCGGCGAGTCCATTACGATAAACTCGCTCAATCAATGTCAATTGATCAAACGAATGGTATGACAGAGAAAAAAGAGTAGAGATTACAGTTCTCACCTTAAATGCATTACGAACAAGCACAAAAAAATGTAAGGAATCAAATCAAGGACTTCAATGAAATGCCTTAATAGAAAAGGTCAACTAATCAAAGATAATTCCAAGAGATTAATCGGCAACAATGATTTGAACTTTTTTTTTTTTAGGTACATGTCTTTTTTTGTATTTAATGAATCAACTTCTTGGACCATAAAAACAAGACAGCAGAATTTGAACAGTTGGAGAAAAAAGAATGGAAGTTTGACAGAACAATAGAAAGCCCCTTCGAAAATCATTCAGTCGATTGGAGTTGGACGGATTTTCACTAAAAAAGATTACTATATATGGTACAGTAGAAGGAGAGATATTGCAGTTGTGGTTGATGTAAGAACTTTGCAAAGTTCCGAAACTCTTGTCAAAGACAGTGCACGACAGATTACCCTCTACTTTCTTGTGCATGACATGATACATGCATTTTTTGTTCTATCAAGTATTCATGAAAGTTTTGTACATTATTGTTTTTATAGAATTGATGTTTGGCAAGCTTTTAAAAATTAAAAAACTCATATATCAAGTATATAACAAATAAATTAAAAATATCTCAATAGCCCTTTACTTTACAGCTGAACTATCTCGATACATTGGAGTTTAAATTATGTTCGGTAAATCACTTTATATATATATCTATAACCCTTGGACCTTGTTCAGTAATATATCTCGTCTTTAACTTCATAATATTTTATCTTCTATCTTAATTTTTTTTTTTTATTTTTTCATGTTTTATACTTTTACTCATCTTTGCTATTTTTATTATTATTACTTACAGTAACGATCTTTCATAGTTAGATAAATAGACTGTCTATGTAGCTGGAAAGTTGAGTGTATACGTAAGAAATGGGAGTATATGGCTTTAAAAAATATTTGTGGATGACTAACACTAATAAAAGGCCCATTTTGTTGATTTTACTTCTCTAGAAACTGTGGGGAGGAAAGATAATGCGGAGTAGTTCATGCAATAATTTAATTCGAGAGAGTACTTTCAGATTTGTGGATTCTTTATTAGATTTTTATAAAAAAAATTAAATTTCATATTAAAATTTTATAAATAATTAAATATACAGACATTAGAATATTTGATAAGTCATGACACTTATGAATAAAATTTTTGTCATGACATTTAACACTTGTGAAGATAAAATATTTATAAAAAGATGTTTGACAGACATTTAGAGACATAAGATGCAATATTTAATATCAAAAATGATGAAGAACTTTTTTTAAATATATATACACTCATCAATTTACATCAGATTATTATTTAATGTAGAAAATATTTATGTTTAATAAAAATTTGATTGATGACAGGAAAATTATTTATTGAGTCATGAAAAAATCACAAGAAAAATGAACGAGATGTACCAAAAAAAACTGACAATTATTTTTTGCTGATTTCAAAACGTGTAATTCAATTCTTTTGGACAACTAAAACAAAAAAATAACATTACGAGTGGTGTTTAAGAGACGTGTAGCAAAGAGTCTATAAAAAAGAGTTTCACACACCTCAACTTGTTGTAAAGTACATATATTTAGGATTAAAAAGATTTGCGAGTAAAGTTATTAAACAGAACAGAGTTAGTAGTCTACAGTAATGTTGAAGAGTACAGAATTGGTAAGAGAAAAAGAGTGGGAAATAAAAGTATGTTTTTAGTATAAATTAAAGTAGATAAAAGGTATTTGTTCCTATTTTTATGTCCCAAAATTTCATTAAATATTACAAAAAATCATAAAGACTATTAATGCTTGGAATAAATAGTTTAGTGGGAAACTGTTGATAGAAAGAAAAAAAAACAGAAAGCAGAGACGAGTGGATAAAACTATCTCAATCATTGATACTTATTTTTCTTCACTTTAACTAATGGTCTTCACATTGGAGATGTCAATATGTGGAGAGCTTGTCAAGATTAGGATAGTAGGGTGGTTTACCCTATTTTGTCAGAATGATCGAACATCTGCAGGCTTCATTAAATTGTAGGATTATGATTAAACTATTTTGTGAAATTGAATAATTCAATATCTGACATGAAAACTTATTACATTATTACAGGTCAATATAACTAATTTTAATTCAATATTAACTTTTTAATATGAAGTGTATGATCTGTTAAAAAATTAGGACCATTTGATTGGCACATTTTCAATTTATGATGACATCTGCTATTACTAGTAGACTAAACGAGAAAATAATCATGTTAAAAGGTAAATATACTGATTTTATATTTCGTATATGACTATAACTAATAAATGGTGATTACTCTGCATGTTTATTCAATTTTGTATGATTGAATAAATTAAAATTTCTAGAGTTTAATTATAAAATGGTAATAATATCTCCATACGATGGAGAAGTAACTAAATTCACTCGATCTCGTTTTTGGTTTAATAATACAATACGATTAAATTCCAGTAGACTCCATATGCACCATTAACCTGAATGAGAGAACAAAAATGGCTATAGGGAAAACAGGAAACTAGAGGAAGGGGTTCAGTAATTTGAGTATAAGCATGGAAAGGTTACCACAAAACGATAAAGGATGTGCGTATATTATTAAACAAAATAGAACAGTCGTAAGCAGGGTTGTTTTGCACAACTTTTTGTCAAAGCCGGAAGTTACGGACAAAACATCTGTTCCTGAGGGTATGCTTGTTAAACCTTCGGCTAGTTATTTAGTTTTTTTATTTTTAATGTCGTAAAATGTGTTTTTAGAAATTTTGTTTATGACTAAGACAAAGATGTTATAAAAATATCATCTTTTTTCTAGACATTTTTGGAAATACTGGAGATAAAATATTTCATTCTATTTAATTAAATACATTATATGAAAAATTAAGAAGATAAAAATGTATTTGTCTACAATGAAATGATTATGAAGAGTCTATTCAAGTTTTTGAAGTATTTTGGTCACAAATTGAACAAAAAATGTAGCTTTAAAAAAAAAAGAAGTTTTTTTTTAAAATGTATCGAAATAATGTAGCCATTTTTTTTGATTATCTTGTTTTAGTTTGAAGTATAGTGGGTACATTCCATAACGAGTATTTGTTGGTACATATAATAAATATTGACTGACCGAAGATGTCACGAAGATCTATGTGATGTTTACCATCAGGAATTGTCATCACACGTCATTTGTTTCGGTATGTCAACAGTCAGGTGCTCACTTGGCATACTTACAGTCAAGCTGTGGTGAAAGGTAAGAGAATAGAAAGAGAGGGAGACCGAGAACTGTCAAGGGGAAATAGCCGTTAGCGGTCAGACCGAGTAACGATGGTGGGCTGTGGGTACAGCAAATGCGTATGCGGAGTCGACCAGAGGACGAATGATGGATGTGCGGTTGTCACTTTACATTTCACATTCACTCTCATACGTTACTTTTATACTGATAGTAGCATCGGCAATATTCCCTGGAACCTCGATTTAGTCTTCTGAATAATCCGATCGAATCCTCTAAAATAGTCGATTTCGATGAGGCTTTTTGACCTGGACTTTTAATGGAAAAACTTTAACTGAAGTATTGGAATATTTTAATTATTCACAGATGAAAAAAAAACCGTTAACTATTCTATTTCGTTCGATTTTGCAGTAACTTCATTATTTTATTCTATATGAAACAGAATTTTTAGAGATGTAGCACTTGTTTAATTAAGCCACGGTAATGATTGAATTAAAAGTCTAATTCGGTCAATAATTTTTGAACAATTCTCGATTTGATGAATGTTTGCGGAATTGATTCATAAATTAAATTATCAGATTTAATTAAATAAATATTTTTATACTAAAAGTTTCTATCGATATTCATTTCATTAAAACATTTATTAAGTTATCTTTGAGCTCATTTTTTTAGTTGCAACTATAGAGAAAGTAAATATTTAAATTTAATTGCAATATAATAATAATTATCATTTGAAAAAAGAAACGTTAGTTAAAAAAAATAAAAAAAATTATTAAGCGGACATCTGTTATGTACAGAAGGTAATAACGGAATTGAAAACAGTGGAAGTTATATTAATGGAATAATAAGGGAAAACTTTTCTTATTACGGTGAGATT